GAAATACAAAAAATGAAGAACCATGTTCATAAGTTAATGAAATAAATAAACATAAAGTTTTACATTTATTGTTTAACCTATCCCTATTTGAATTTTATACTAATTTTATGACGGCATTGTAGTACCTACCAGAAAATGAGTAGGAAACTGTACTTATTAGTGTGAACAGTGTATTTAAAGCAATTACATGCAACACATTTGCGTGCAATAGATGGATAGTGTTCAAAAAGTAAAAATGCGGATATACGCTAAGGTTTTACAACCGTGGATGGGGTGAGGTTTTTCAGATGGATTATGTAAAACATTTTTTTACAAAAAAATAGAGGGTACATGAATGTATCTTAGTCGTCTGATACCTACATAATAGATACACTCCACTCTCCGAGCTGTACATGTGTGTGGCGCAAAAAACTGTCAAAAAGTGTGGATATCGAGACATCAATGTTAATTCCATCCATTACGAGAGTTCTTGTTCAATATGCCCGAAGACCAACTTATCAAGTTCTTGTGTTACTGTAGAAACTTAAACTGAATGAAGATGACTAACATTGTTAACGTTAAATTATCACCGTCATTCGTTATTCAAATTCTTATATATTAAGTTTTACAAGAAAATCATTCATTATTTGACCATTTACAGTTTTTTATCAGAATGACTAATTGAGACTTGTCAAAAATTTATTGATCAATACTTTAAGTGAATGAAGAATTCTAAGCCTGCCACGCTTAAAAACACGCATATCTTTTTACAATAAGCGCGTAGTAAGTTTTTTGCAACGGTATAATACCCTACCCTACCCACTTCAAGTTCATAATATCATTGAAGTGTTACTTACATATTTGTGAGTATTTAGCGATTCAGTACAGTGCACGAAATTCATTAATGATCATCAATCGTTGTTCCGTCGAAATCGAAATTGAGACATAAATACGATTTTGACATCGGATTGATAGTTATTGGGGAAGGTTCCCACAACTAGAAAAGCCCTGCCTAGATTTAGTCAAATTGTCATTGGAGTATTCATTCTATTCTTATACAGTTCAAAAATGATTGACAATTAGGATTCAAGTAAAGCACTAAATTTAGTGACCAAATAAATATTTCTCATGTTCGTATCACATTTCAATTTTATGCGTTTCTCCTACTTTTTCAATCCAAAATGTTTCACGAAAAACGCTCAGACGCGTTGAAGTTAGGTTCACTATTTCTCTTCTCTAGCATAAAAACAGTCACGTCAATCATCGCAGGTAGCCACCCACTGCAAAACCGGTCCCCTGTGAGATGTACACAAATTATGCGATTATATTTGGGTCCGTGAAGTTAGCAGCACATTGAAGGCACAAATGTCGAGACTAGGTGGGTTGGTTAGTGCTTCGTCTGTGCCGGTTTGTGCCGTAAAAAGTTTGCCAGCAAAACATACGGTTTGGAAATTATTTCGATTGTTAAAGGTTCTGCTAATAGGCTAGTCATTGAGGATTTTTACCTGGAATTACCGGGAATTACAGAAATTTTGTCTGCTTGAGTGCGTAGAACTAAAATCATAAAATGCACAATTCTAAACTTGCCGCCGGGGCCGCCATCTTGCCAAGATGGCCGTCAAAAGCGGTTTTCCGTCGATATCACCAAAACTGCGCATTTTACGAGAAAATATGTGGTGAGCAAATTAACGAAACGAAAATTTCCTACAAAAAATGTAGTTAGCATATTTTCACTAAAGTTAGCCCTTACGCAGAAATTCAGAAATTTTTAATAACCTTCAAAAGTTTCCAAAGGCTTTTAAAACCTTTAAGATAATTAAGAACTTTTATGCGTCTTGAAGAGTTCATCTCGCAGATGAGTCGCAGCCTCCAAGAGCATCCAGAGTCTTCTAAATGGTTTAGGGTTGATGTTAACGTTATGGGGGGGGGGGGGCGAGTAAGGTAAGTTTAACTGACACACGAAACCGAACACAAAAAATCATTATTCATCTTCACTTGACAGTCAGAATGATTTAGCAAGAGTTGAACTTGAGTCACACCACCGTTCATCAACTGTTAACCAATGACTTAGGAATAAGAAAGGTGTGTGCCAAAATGAAATACCTTTCTCGGGACCAAAAGCACATTAGGATCATAAGGTGCTTTGACTTCTTGGAATCGATTGAAAAAGATTTCCATTTCCTGGAACATGTGGTCACAAGTCAACTTGGGTATTTGTGTAAGACGCGGCAACCAAACGCTAGAGCATGGAATGGCACACGGTAACATGTCGAAGGCAAAAAAAAGCAAGCATGAGCAAGTCCCATATCAAAAGCATGCTGATTTGCTTTTTCGATAACCAAAGGGATTGTGCCAAACGATTACCCAACACTTTTACGTTCTTTAAAGACTTCGGAAAAGGGTCATGGGTACGAGACCAAACATCAAAAACAGTTGGGCGTTTCATCATGATTCATCGCAATGCGCTTTGTCATACAGCAATTTCAGTGATTCGTTTCTTGTCCAGTAAGTCCTTGCAACAAGTGGTCGCTTTAGAAGTAAAAAGTAGTTTTTCGAATTTATATTTTGGTAAGCATAGGACAATTTACGCACGTACCGCTTAACAGTGAATTTGCACAAAAATATGTCTGGCGATATCGAGTCAAAGGGTCCGAATTAGCAGTTTAACTTAGGATAAAAAGATAGTGGCCAGAAGTCCTAAAACTGGGGTTCGTGATAAATTGTTAGTTACCCGTAATTTTATACGTGCGCAGATAAACTAAACTTTTTTAGCGAGCTGATTCGTAGCAAGATCGTTTCAACTTAGTGGAAAGTTCATACTAAAATACTTAAATATGACGCTATTACGACGTACGGTAAACATTTTAAAGACAATTAATTTGTGTATCTTGCTCTCGTCAAAACGTAGCAATAAATTAGGCAAAATTTAATGCCAATCCAGTGGAAAAGTGGCATTTTATCTCTGTGCATAAATAACCACGATCTCGAGTATTATTTTATCTCGAATTTTGAAGCTGGTTTGTTTGCATTCATCACGAAAATAATGTACAGGGACGGCGCAGAAAAACTGTCTTTTCCAAGGAGAAATAAGATCAATTCGTAACAGAAGAGAATTTTACCCACGTCAATTACAGTACGTTATTTTAATTTTCTAGGAATTTGATATTGAGTTTGTTTGAAGTTAATTTTTCCTGAAGGTATCGACCCATGAGAATTATTCGCATAAATAGGTTTGTATTTCATTTATTGATAAGGATCAGATCCAAGCAAAGGATTTGGACTATTTGCGGAAGTTTTTGTTTTTTTTGTCAATCATGGTCAATCAATGGTAATGACTAAAAGAATCAAACATAAAAATCCCCAAAAAAATGTGTTTCATTTTCTATACGTTATAGACACCTGGTTTATTTCGCCCGCACAAGTTATAGAGAAAAAATGAAATATACACATTAAATTCCAAAGAACACAAATCCAGTACCCATAAGCGCCTGTTCTCGTCATCATCATCGTCGAAACATGTCGCAAACTACAGTCAATTAAACTCATCTATGGGTACTGGTGTTGTGTTAATTTCGAATTTTATTACACGCTACCCATTTTCAGGAAAAACCATGCACTTCAACCCTTCAAAAGAAATATATAAAGTTTAATAAGAAAGGCATGGTTGTAGATGTGTATTGCATAGTACTCCTCATTCATTGGTTTACCCTTTGGCAGGTAGTTCAACCAAAAAATAGATTTATAGATGTTTTGGTTAAGTAGAATTCATTTTGTAAACCAACCCTTTTCTTTAATATTTAAATCTAGATGTGTTCAAGATTTGACAGATTCCATCCGATTCATGCTTCATTCGGTGCAGTACTAAACAAAATCCTTTGGGTTCTTCAATCGAGTGTCTATGCCCTATGGGATAGAGATATTTTGTCTAACGTAAATGAAATTTGACTTTCTTTGATATATTTGGTCACGCTAAAAATCAATGGCGCTCACGTAGTTCAAATACACCACAGGTAACCGAATTACCACTCTCGAAACACATCGTTTTCTGAAGCAATCAAATCGATCATTAGAAAAAAATTAATTGTTAAAGAATCCGAGGATCGATAATGCTGTCGGTGACTGTGCGTATAACCCACTCATGACCACACTGATTTAATGGTCCTGATAATTTTGATACTCTGGCACTAAAGTGATCAGCACCAGAAGAGGATTAATTAGTGCTTTTAATCAACGCTCGACACTTTTTCACAAACTCTTTCTATGGTAACCACCAGGTACGTCCTATGAAAAGTCATTAAATACCTAATTAACTTACAAGCATGCAATGAATCATGTAAGACTTTTTTTCATTTGTTGTGCTATCATTTCCACTGCCAATAATCATCACGAACCGTATTACTTATTAATCATAATTTTACAGAACAAAAGGTAGCTATAGAAAATTAGTATACTATAATTAATTAAGTATGCATGTAGAATTGAGTTTCCCTTCACACACAGCAGGGCGGCCAGATTTTTTCCTACGCTCAAATTTAGCGAGCTTCAAGGCTGAAGTTTGAGTTTCATCTTCTCTACTGGTCACTTTTGTTCGGTATCGTTTAGGAATACTAATCTTAATTCTGAATCAATCGCTTACTCCTTATCGTGATGTTCCAAAATCAAAGAGACCATCTTGCCGCCAGCATTAGTTATCAATGCAATAATTAATAAGGCGCCGCCATATATAATCGAAAAATAAACGGAAATATTGTTTCCGGTTAAATTTCTACGCAATCCCAATATTTGCTTACAATTGAATTGGTTTTAATTTATGGAAACCACACGCGCAACTACGCACCAATTTCAAAATATCGTCGTAGATTACCATTTACCATGACCGTATAACATACTATTTTGAGTATTGTGCGTTACGATTTTAAATTGAAAGTAGGTATAGAAACATTGAATCGGAAATTTGATATATTCACGAAATCGAGCACCTAGTGCGAAAGTTGAAGGTAAAATAGTGCGTAAAAACTTACCTTCACAAAATAACGTAACGTCCGCTAAACTTTCAGATTTGAAAAGATTACTGAAAGATGTTGCTAGATTGCTACCGAAACTATTCCACTTCAAACAGAATTGTTGTTGCTGAGAGTCCATTTCCACACCAGGTTGAAGTATGTTTTTAGCTGTAAAAGAAATGAAGCTGTGTATCTTAGTTTTTGATGGTGGTGTTTTTTACAGTACGTCCAAATATGGCAACACGCTCGAGTTCCTTTGTTGAATATGTTACCCAATGACTTAATGAATGTAGCAGGCAAAAACTGACATGCATTTTTAGTCGGTACCATAAAATACCACTTTTTAACATTGCGGTTTTGATTAATTACGTGAATTATATAATATCAAGATACAATCCAATTTGATTGGGCAACAAAGAACTCGTGCATGCGTTTTTTATTCTAATAATGAAACCCTAAAATGCAAAAGAATGACCCTGAATGGTTTTTGACCCTGCACTTAAATAAAGAATGATTACCAGCAGGTAACAGGCGTTTGAACTCCAGGCATGCACTTCCCACATTTTGCAGGTTATGAAACTGGTATTTGATAGATTATTCTAGGAAGCCGAAAGCCTTGATAATTTAAGGGGCAAACGGATGAAGGTGTTATGTCACAATTTGCCGAAATTTACGCAATCAGAGTAAAAACGATGAACGCCCTTTCGCGGGATGCATAATTAGAGTTGTGCCCAACAAAAAATATTAGCGCAGGCAATTTTATTAAAAATACATCAATTCCCTTCAGTTGCGGTGATTATATTTTGCAAATATAATGAAGAAATTTCCATTGCAAATTCCGTATCAACGTATTTAGTTAATGTATGTATATTAAATAAATAAATTACTGTTTTTGTGCAACGTGCACGAAAATACAATAAATGCCCTTGCCGAAAATTCGAAATTACTTATATAACGACTTTGCATGAAAATTACTCAACTAAAATAACAATGACCGGATAAGTTCATATCAATGCAAAAACGTTTGTTGATGCCATATCCCGAAATGGATTGCCTTGAACTTCATTTCACGGTCACAATAAAGCGCTAACAATTTGCGAATTTAACTGCATCAACTTTAGCTAAGCAACAAACTTCACGCGGCGAAAATAGATTCTGCACAAATTGGACAAGAAAAAATTCTAACCAATCAGGCCAAACGAGCTCTTTTTACCTCGTACAGTTTTATACAATTTTCCTGTACACATTAGCAAATAAAAGAAGCCTTGAGCGTTGGCCAAGGCTACGCAGTAATGTAATGTTGTATTCAAAATTTCCATCGAATTATGGAAAATAGCATATATTGCGTTTGCGGTAATCGAGGTTGCAACATGAAATGAAATTATATAATAGGTACGCACTCAAACTTTTGGAGATTGGATGGGGATAGAACAGTACATTGTGTTTTTAGAAGCGCATTATTGTTGCTGCATATTATAAAATGAAATCATAGTAAACCCAAAACGCTCAAAATCAATATTGATTTTTTTCTATTTTTTATTAGATTCTCCTACCCTCCCCTGTTTTGATAACTATAATATTTATTACCCTTGACAGTGACACAGTGGCTTAAGGCTCATTAAATAAATTTCGCATATCTCTTGCATATTTTAACAATAATGGTGTCATACAACCTAAGAAAACATCAATTAATTCATGTCGTTGATTACATCCGTTTCCTCCTTACAGTCAGATTACAAATTGGCGACAAACAGATAATCTTTTGTTTGATATAACCTCAGGAAGGGGGGAATGAAAAACCAAATTAAGGTTCCGGTACCACCCCTCATCTAAAAATCTTTCAATTTTGGCTATTGAATAAGTGAATTTCAGGTAAAAAATGTGATAAAATGGGTGCATCTCCTTTTTTTACAGTTTTTAAAAAACTCGTCGACCTAATTTGGAAAACAAGCTTGTTTTAGTGTTCTTTTTAGTTCAGTGCGCTTTACTAAATCGTGTAATTTATCTGAAATGACATTTTTTAGATTTAGACTATCAACCGATTCGGATCCGCTGATTTTGTCATACATGGCTTTTTACCACCCGCACGATAGTCAGGGAGATATATTGCATTGGGGTAAAAATGACCCCCACTTTTTTGTCGGAAATACACGTTTTACTTTTAAAGCAACAGGATTCCGAATCAAACAAAATCCGATGATGTCGAGCGGCCTGTCAGTTTGTACTCTCATTTCCGGCAAAACGGCTGAATCGATTGGAACCAAATTTGGTACACATATTTTTAGACATAAAAAGAGCAGAATCGCGCATGTATAGGTGTGCTAGCTACAGCAAATTTTTTCTTATGCATCATTATGCTCTCTTGCGCCATTGGATTAAAAATGTGCACTTTAGAGAGCCGGCCGCACACAGATCAAAACAATTTGGTTCGAAACAAATTATATTTGCACCATCTTTTCTAGTAGCACGTGACCACTGACCAGCTGTGTTTGTTTTGTTTTGGGTCATGGACAAGGAAGTAGAAATTGCCGTTCATATTGTGGGAATTTATAACGTTGTAGGGCGTATTGGGTTCACCCCATAAACAAGAAGAGAAATATTTCTGGTTTTATAGCTAAACTTAGGAGTGATCCCACAAAATGTTATAATTACTGAATACATATACAGATTATTGGACATATCGCATATCAAAATCGAAATGTTCAAGCGTTTTTTCGGAGGCTGTTAAATTCAGTTTAGATACCATGTGTAAAGCAAATTTTTTACCTGAAACCATTGAGTAATTAAACTAATCCTTCACTCAACACTGAAACCTAGAAATATAAATTTTGGTTATTGTTACCATCCATTTTTTATCGTTAATCAAAAATATAAAATTGCTACAAGTATAACAAAAAAACGCCCAATATTTTATGGTTAGTTCGACACACAAATTTCATTTAATTTCAACTCTCGTCAGAAACATATCCAAAGTAATTCATATGTATAGAATAAATCCGTTTTTAGCGTTATTATGTGCTATTGTAAAAAAAACCTGAAACAAGTAGATTTATATCCTTATGCCACAATTTACCCTAGTCATCTCCTTGAATTATAAGCACTAGTATATATTTTTGAGTTGTCTGCCAGTTAGGAGGTTCTTAAGTGACATCCTCCACAACCATCGGCCCATGCCTCTCTATGCATCTCCACATAGCCACCTTCTCTCGCACCTTCTTCAAATCATCAATCCATTTCCTTTTTCTTCTTCCTCGCTTCTCCCAAGTCTACATCTCGAATGCTTCCGTCGTTCTAATTCTCTTTTATTTAATGTCCATACTTCACGCCCATACAACAGCAGAACACTCGAAACTAAACATTTCACCAGTCTTTTTCTCAACTATAAACCCATCTTACTGTTAAGTCATTCGCTGTCTTGTCCATTCCAACTCTTCTCGTTATCTTCTTTTCACTCAACCAATCGTCTGATATTACTGTGCCTAAGTATTTGCTTGTTTTAACTTGTTCCAATTCCTCCCCTCACCCTTACATTCATTACTTCCACCGCTCCAACTTTAATTACCTTCGCCTTCTTGTGGTTAATTCTAAATCCATACGTGTCTTCCATTTCTTCCAGTCGTTTCAACAGTTCATTCTATTTCCACGTGTTTTCGGCAAATATCATCAGCAAACCTGAGTGACCTTACATCTCTGCTCCCTATTTTTACTCCCTTATTCCTTTTCCAGCACTTCCTCACGATATCCATATAGATATTAAATAAAGTTGGTAATAGACAACATCCCTGCCGAACACCTCTTTCTATTCCAAACCATTCAGACATATTATCACCCACCTCCTGCTTCCTGATTAATCTTCTTTCGCTCCAGTACACTCTCTTATCCCTTAAAATGTCTAATAGTTTTTCGTATTTCACACAATCGAATGCCTTTTCTGGATCTATTAGGCACAGACTTACAGTTCTTCTTCGTTCTATATGTAGGTACCTGTGTCCCAGATCGCGTGGGATTGCATGGGTAACTTTCTTATTATTAAAGATAGAGAATTGGTTAATGGACAATGTTTTGCAGTTTTAGATGCTTATTTTAAAGTTCAAAATGTCGAATAGGTTGGACGTCATTTCAAAAAAACTGAAATCGGCCATTTCCTTGAATGTCTTGATATCATCGAACGTACACGAGATACAAAAAATAAGTTTTATATAGGTAAAAGTTACTGTCTTTGATACGCTTAATTTAGAATGGACGTCAAACAAATTCAAGATGGCTACTTTTGACGAACATTTACTTCCCAAAGTTAAATAGGCGCCATATTGGAGTTGTAGATCACTAATAGATTTTTAGTTCTCTTTTCAACGAGCTATCATAGCATAAGGAGATTGAAAATAAGAGTTCAAAATATCGCATGGGCGTACACACTCCTTTTCAAACAAGGTCCCCTTTTTAATTTAAACTGGTTAAATGGTGGTTACCATTCAGATGGGACGTTACAGAGTGGTAATATTTTCCATTTTCGTACCATAAACTGTCAAATTAAGAATATAAATCAACCTGTTTCAAGTTTTCCCCCAATACCCCATAATAATGCTAAAAAAATCCATACATTGTAGCGCTCTACAAAGGAGATATAAATACAGTGGAAAAACGTATAGCTCGACATACACGTTCCGTTCGCCGGTACTCCAATGCGATTTTCAAAATTCCCATCGATGAGAGAAATTGGTCGGCCGACCGCCTATACGGCCGGTCGTTGTCTTTCCTGTCAAAATCGTCCGGCGAAATGAACGTGAGTGTCGACACTAACGAATGTCGTACTATTTTATTACAAATGTACAGGATGTGAAAGATATGTATTGTATAATCAACGTCGTGTGGGTGATACTTCGACCTAAACATCGAATATAATGACGGGACGCCCTGTATATGAGGATATTTCAATTTTCTTCAATTATATTTACGAAATAAGCACAAAGTTGGTTCGTTTTATTTGAATTAGTGTCTTAGTCTTGTTTTTCCTTTTCGAATTGTTTGTAATTGCATAATTTTTCCATTTGCGTTTTACCGCTGTTATAAATTGTAGATTTGTGCGTGTTAAAATGTTGGGACATCAGGCCGTTGCGATAAGGAGGTTTATCAGGCGAAATCGAGGGCGAAATTAATTAACGCACGTA